AGGGTTTAGGGCTGAGGATTTCGGATTTACAACCCAAAAACTCTAGATCGGATCTGCTTAACATGAGTGTCTCTGCTGTTCAGCTGCTGCAGGAGTTGGGACTTCGCCGTGGATGGGTCGCCACAAAGCAAGGAGTGGATTTCCTCAGCGACGTTCTACGCTCTCTGCTGGGCTCGCAGTACGGGGAAGGCTTCAAGGTGTTGGCATTATGGTCTTGGGGTCTGTAAGGGTTTCGGCATATATATATATATATATNNTCTACGGTTTGTCTGTGTTGGCCACAGCCCTGGACTCGTTTCCTTTGTTCCCTTTGTTCTTTCCCTTTAAACACACACCACGCATGTCATAGTGCAGCAAAGTGATTTGAAGCAGAGGAAGTGGTAGATACATGAGGAGGGGGGTACCATATATATATATATATATATATATGTATATAATATACATACATACATACATACATACATACATACATACATACATACATACATACATACATACATATACTAACACATATACACATGCACATATACAGATACATATCCGCATCTGTCTATATAATTTATCGGCCTTCACGACTTTAGGGTTTGGTTTTGGATTATTTGTGGCGTACTTGCTGCAACCGGGCACTTGCCAGGTAGTGAAAGGCTATCCGTAGGATCCCTACTTTACTCCCTACACCGGGGAGCCTAGACAACCCGTAAACCCGAAGCCCGAAACTCTACATGGACACTGAGTAATTCTGTCGACATGCAAACTGCCCGCATGCAAGCGAGTTGCTTTTTTCCTGCAAGCCCAGTGCTACTAGAAAGCCCGACCTTCTGTCTTGGCCTAAGCCTTTAACCACTAAGCCCTTATCCTAAACCATAAACCCTAACTTATCCCTAACCCTCCAGGTACCTACTACATGGGGCCCTAGGGGCTCTAGTACCCTATGTAGTAGGTACCTGGCAGGTTAGGGTAAAGCATCTATCGGCCCCTGGGCCCGCACAACGCTTCTTTTCTAAGTTTAGAGGTTTAGGGATTGAGGGGTTTAGGGTTTAGGGTGTAGGGTTTAGAGTTTAGGGTTTAGCGTTTAGGGGTTTAGGGGTTTAGGGCTTAGAGTTTGGGGTTTCTTGTCTGGGTGTAAAATTTAGGGGTTTGGGGCTTGGGGCGTCCTGAAGAAACTGTAGCCTAAACCCTCGGCCGAACCCCAACTTACAGCCGAAGCCCTAAACCCTAAACCCTAAACCCTAAACCCTCAACCCTGAACCCTTCCTTTCCGAGTTGCCGGTCGGCTGTGTGCCTGGCGTAAACAGGAGTTGGAAGTTTCTGTCGCTTCGGCTTTTCCGTCTTCGTATGAGGGGCTCACGCTTAAGGCTGCATTCGTATAGCGGTTCATGGGGCCTAAACCCTGAACCGTGGTAGTGTTCCCTGACGGGTTACAAGCATACAGACGGGGCTCTCCCAACTACAACCTGAATACGTATGGAGCTCGTTTGTGGCAGTGCCGGTTTAAATTACAGCCTGTCTATTTAACAGTGGCAACAATGCAAGGGGGAATTTCGAATCATCCCACATCTGTACCTGTGAGGCTGATCGATGCTAATCGCTTTCTCCTCGACCTACTCCTACTACTCCCAGGGCTCTCGGTGCCCCTTACCACTACGGCAACGTTTTGCTGCACCATTGCTACCGCTACCGCGACCTATCAGCGCTATATAACTGCGAGTAACTCACAACTATAGAGTATAGACGACAGAACCCAACGCGTATTCTTTGTTCTGCATCGAATTCTGTTCGACGGGATTCTTAATGTAGAGGCCTTTATCCGAGTTGCTAGAAAAAAGGTTTGGGGGTATAGTACAGTTCCTATAGGTGCTGTCATCACGGGCAAAGGACTCTAAATAAACAGCTACAAGGGAGATTCAGTACTATAAATAGCTCGGCCTTCACCTAGACCGCCCAACTACCCTTTATTGTAGCCCCTAATTACCTAATTACCTCTTAATGAGAAATGCTAGGGCCCAAAGGGTACTTGGGGGGGTCCTGGCATACCTCACCTGCAAGGGAAACTCGGCAGACACTGGAGTCCCGAAGTCCCGAGCCCAAGCCCTCTTTGAGAACTAAGCCTTCCATGATGTGGGAGTATGCGAGAAAAAAGGGGTACCTTATCTTTGAGGTCCTTATAATCAGGATCCTAGTATTTAGGGTGCTATATTAGGGTCCCCTATTTTCGGAACCCCCCCCAAAAAAATACCCAGGGTTTCGGGTGGAGGGCTTAGGGAACCCTGAGCAACCCGAGACTTCTGAGTTCTGAGTCATGACGCCGTTGCTGAAATCCTCAAGCCTGGAATAGGGAATAGGGTTTAAGGGTTTAAGGGTTTAGGGGTTTAGGGGTTTAGGGTTTAGGGGTTTAGGGTTTAGGGGTTTAGGGTTTAGGCAGCACACATCGAGAAATTGCAATGCGGTGGAGGGGCCGTGCCGTTGGGCAGGCAGGTGCCGCCGAAGAGCTGGCACAGAAGGCCTTTCTTGACCTGGATTCACAGTATGTCGTGGGTTCAAGTACTCAGAGGGTCCGAGTACCCAAACAGTAAGGTTTTAGGTCCAAAATCCATACTCTGAATGGTTTTTGGACCTTGAAACCCTACTGTTTGGGTACTTGGAGCCTTAGGGGCACAAACCGTAAGGGACAGACAACAAAACAAATGCTCACCCCACGGTAGGTGCACTCAGACTCAATAGGTGTACGTGCAGCTCGCGAGAAGAACATATGAAGTTTCGGGCGCAAGAATCACGAGAGGATGTGATCGGAAGCAACATCAGCGGAAATGACAAGCTTCAGGACATACATTCCAACATAATATGGACATGCCTTGAACAACGCCCAGCATCTTATGGGCAGAATGGGGTCCCAGAAAAGCAGGAGCTTACTGCGTGAGCAACTCTGCAGAGATGTTACACATGCAACCCCGCAACCCTGGAGACAAGCCATGAACCCTAAACCCTCAAGCCCCTAAGCCCCACACCCCGACCACCTATACCCCAAACCCTCAAGCTCCTAAACCCCAAACCACAACCACCTATACCCTAAACCACTACAACCCTAAACCCGTAAACCCTAGCCTGAAGCACTTCCTGCGAAGCCCTCGCACCTACCACAGCTTGTGTCTCAAGCAAACGGAACTTAAGATCGCCCCTGCACAAGTCCGAGCCCGAGTCGAAGGCTAGGCTAAAGACTATGGAGGTTCAGGGTTTAGGGTTTAGGGTTTAGGGTTCAGGGTTTAGGGTTTAGGGCTTTGGACTCTTGGTGAGGGCCTTCTTTCAAGATACCATTCGGAAAGCTCTTTGCTTGCAAGATATCCACAGTCTTGTGTTTGAGAAAACGAGCTCTCAAGAACACAGGAGGAATGCCCCGCACCCCCAATCCCAACAAAAGGTCCATGAACTTGCGCGGGAGGATCCTGCATCTCCAGTCGTGGGGCAAGCCTTGCAAGTCAAGTCCTGTGCTGATCGAAAGCCCTGCATTTCAGAGCCGCCCCCGTGACCCTCTGAAAGCGGAGCTAGGATTACGGGGACCCTTGGGGATAGAGACCCTCTCAATCCGGCACCCTTTTAGAGAGCCAGAAGTAGGGTTCAGAAGGGTCCAGGTTAAGGGGTCTCCCGAATGCTACCTGAGACAAAGTTATGTCACGCCCTTGAAGCATTGAACCAACAAAACCCTCGAAATGGAATCCCATGCCCTAAACCCAGAACATTAAACCCAGGTAGAGTCAAGTTATCCAACCATTATCCAACCGATGCCTCGTCTTCCTCGAAGATGGACGGGGCGAAGGATTGCACCCTCGCACACTTTCGTGTTTGTCGGTCTTAGGGGTTTGGGGTTGGGGGTGAATGTTAGCCTGGGGGCTTAGTCATAAACCCTTAAACCCTGTGCGCAGAACCGTTTAGCTGTTTAGATGCCTTGCCGACAGAAGGCTGCATGGGCTCGGGAGGTCCTGCTGGCTTAAGGAGTGTTCGGGTGGTCTCGCATCAAGCTAAGACACGCCAGGTTTTAGGTTCGATGGAACTGAGGTCATGTCGGCTCTGTGTGTGCGTCATTCTTGACATGCATCGAGGTGTTAGCAATGGGTGCAGGGTGTGCAGTACTGGATTTCGGGACAAGATCCAACTCTATTATAACGGCCTTAGTAATTACCTATATTATTCATTAGGGCTCCTTACCATGATTGTACTATAAAGGACCCCCAAAACCCTATTGAAATTGTTCACTGTCGAGCACCGAGGCCCCTGATCGTGGTTTGAATTGGGGTAGATGGACTCAGGTTGAAAAAGGTCGCAGCGGAAGCAGCATGTTTTACTCGGGGTTCAGGGTCGAGTGCCCTAAACCCTAAGCCCCAAACCCTAAACCCTCAACCCTTAAACCCTAAACCCCAAACCCTAAACCCTGAATCCTAAACCTAAGCCGTGGCCTAAAGCGCGAGGTTTGGGGCTCCGGGAAACCTTAACCTCGACCCTCAATCAGAACTAGCCCAGAGGGTCCATATGCATTACCATCATGGAATTAGGTCCCAAAAGACCATCCTTATTATGGCTTCAGGGACCTAATTCCATAATAGTAGTATATATGGACCCTCTTGGTAGCATCAGCACCGTAGACATTGTAGCAGAGAAGTTTTAGGGTTCAGGGTTGAGGGACTAGGTTTAGGGTTGCAGAGAAGTATAAGAGGAAGTCATGGCAATGAACCCTAAACATCTAATCTAGAAGCCTAAGTACTTACCTATATTATTCTTAGGGTTCCTTATNNATGATTAAGGCCCCTATATTAGGTTTTCAGGGATCCAGGTGAGCTGAGGCTGCCGCAATTTGCCAACGATGGTGGGGTTGCCGGCTGCATCCTTTTCGGCGGCCATCTCACCTGAGTTGAGGATCTCTGTTAAGGCTTCGAGTGTATATATGCTAGGGACAATATTTCTGCCTCCGTCACCATATGCATAGGGTTTTGATGTGTAGCGTGTTGCAGTTATAGAATTTAAGATCTCGGGTCTGCTTATATAAGGCTTTTGGAGGCACTTCATACATAGCCGTGTGCCCTGGGCCCAAAGTACCCGATTGGCAAGCTATTCGGCTTCGCAGGGCAGCGTAGTGATTTTTAGTAATTGGTATTGTATTCGGGGGAGTATATGAGAATCAGTTACTTGGACTCTTATGGTCAGGAACACCTTCGAGGGGACGGTTGATCTACACCAAACCCCCTGTTCTTGACTGATGTCTGCAGATTGTTCGTNNNNAGGGCGCAAGAGCGTGCAAAGGGCATTGTTGCTGCAAGTTGTAGCCCGTCTGGATCTTTGTAAGGTGCAAGAACTGGCTGGTGTGCTCGCAGGAAACCCCCATGAGCGCGCAAAGGTGGTGGCACAAGTATTTGCTGGTCACCCATCGGGAACAACAATGTCGATCAGCCCCATGTGCAAGTCAGAAGGATGTCGGCGCAACTATCACAAGGCTTCACGACAGGCAAGAATCCATGAGCCATCCCCGCGTGAACCGTGGGATGGAAGGCGCAAATCTGCTTGTTCTCAATATCCCCTTCATCCGCAGCTGGTTGTGTTTTCAACCTAGACCACAACTAGACCACCAAGAGCACAACGTCAAGGATTTTAGGATGCCATTTGGCTCGGACGAAGAAGCAGATGAAGATGTTCGAGACTCGATGCTCCAAGCAGTTCCACCCTGGAACTATCTATGACCACAGGGACCTGAATCATTAGTAGTATCCTGCCTTATGGCTCCCTTCTGCACCCTAAACCCTCAACCCTAAACCCTAAACCGACCCGAGATCTTAAATCCTAAACCTCAATCAGACCCTGAGAGCCTGAAGTGCCAGAAAGTCACGAATCTTCGTGTGCCAGCCGATGTCCTCCTCGGAGAACTTCTTGGGATCCAAGTCACCTGTGGCTGCCAGTTTTCTTGGAGCTTGGGAGCTTTCAGGGTTGATCTTTGGGTTTAGGGTTTAGGGTTTAGGGTTTAGGGTTCAGGGTTTGGGGTTTAGGGTTTACGGGTTGGAGTTTGTTCATGTAAGTTTTTACACAGCACCTTGGTCGACTTGGCGCGCACACACACACACACACCAGGTAACTATTCTACAGAATCACGCCGTCGTATAATGTGCAGTCCTTGGTGGCGAACCGGGTCGGTTTCAATAAATCCTATAGAGCATGTTAACTAGCCAATGCAAGCAGACTACCAGGACATAAGCCTGAGAAATGGGCTATTGTATAAGTTATATGGAAAAGATGGGAGCCTGAGTACTTCGGTTGAAATGATCAATGCCCGAAGCTTCCTGATCAAAGCACAAGGACAAAGCCCTGATGACAGAAACATCGAAATCAACATCTCAAGCCCTAAACCCTCAACCCCTAACCCTGATCAACAAACCCTTAACCCTAAACCCTACCTAAATTCCTAAACCCCTCAACCACAAACAGCCCAACATCCCGAATCTACAAGACGAGCCGTAAATCCTCGGTACCTAGACTTCAAGCCAGCGACGATGGATCTTGAAAGGCATAGGGTTTAGATGGATTGAGGAGGGCTTAGAGCTATTATGGTGCAGGGTTCAGGGCTGAGTATATTCGGGGGTAGGGCTAGCGTTGCTCCCAAAGCTTTCCGGGCGAGCCGCACTTGTCCTCCAACTTCGGAACTTGCCCATCTGCCTTCCGTGCAGACGAAGATCACCGGAGTCACTTTAGGCCGGAATTGTGTTCAATTCGGGCCGACTGCATTGCGACTACATGACATGCGGGCTTCGACAACAAAGACTCTGATTCCAGTTCCCGAGCTACACAGGATGCTCATTAGCCTTTACCTTTGTAACTGAACAGGCTTTTGGATCCTCCGGAGGGCAGAGGGCATGGAGGAGACAGTCCGTCATAGAGGAACCCTCAACTCCAAACCCTAAAGTAGCGCAAGTGACGGCAAGGGCGATGAATGCCTGAGGCGTTACGAGCACGCCAAGTAGTCACGCATAAGTGTGAACGTGTAGATAGCCAGCATCCGAAGCAATGCAGTATGTATGTAGGTAGGCAGGTACGCGGGCAGCAGGGCAGAAAGGTAGGTAGGTAGGTAGGTAGGTAGGTAGGTAGGTAGGCTAGGTAGGTAGGTAGGTAGGTAGGTAGGTAGGTAGGTAGGTAGGTAGGTAGGTAGGTAGGTAGATACGTAGGTAGGTGTATGAACGTAGATGCATGAATGTCGGTCTGTCTGTCTGTCTGTCTGTCTGTCTGTCTGTCTTTCTGTCTGTCTGTCTGTCTGTCTGTCCGTCTGTCTGTCTGTCTGTCTGTCTGTCTGTGTGCATGCGTGGATTGTCTGTCTGTCTGTCTGTGTGCACTCGTTGGGTGGATGGACGGATGGATGGAAGGATGAATATCCAAACCGCGACGAGACCTTTGGATGCTGAACTTGGGTTAGACTGCTTAGACGGTTATGGCTTAGGGCTTCAGGTGACAAGTAATCCGGCCAGCACCCTAAGCCGTAAAAGCGGAAACCTTTGACCCTGGCCAGCCCCGAACCTCAAAGCGATTTTCTAGGCTCCAAACTAACCTTAGCCCCAAACAGCCTACCGCTCTCTGTTTCGCTTGAAGGAGAGCCTGCAAAACTTAAGCGGAACCCTAAACCCTAAACCCAAGCTGGGGGAAGCCTTATACAGAATCTCAAACTCAGAGCTAGTCCTCTAAATTCGGGTCCCGTTTAGGGCAGGGTGCCGCAACGTTTCGGGGGCCTAAAAAGGACCCTAATTCAGAAACCTACCCATGCGATTTCGCAGGTCAAAAGTCCGAAACGCTCTCCCCGCCACATTAACGATCACCTTCATGGAGACGTTCAACTCAGTGAAACGTACGACAACTTAGCTTAAAGCTAAAGCTTGGTAGGTTAAACTGAAGATCATGGGTTTATAAGGCCCATTTTAAGCTTTTCAAAGCCCCTAATCCCCACAACTACAGCTCTAAACCTACACCCTGAATGCAAGGACAAGAGGACCCGCGCAAGCCTGGAGAATCGCTGTTGGGTCCGAGAGGACAGACTGGCAGAAAAGCTGTTCGGAAGAGCTCTGATTCTCCATGAGGGCTGCTTTACGGGTGCCATTTTGAAGGTCCTATAATGGGTTCCTGTAAGGGTTTCTTTGGAGTCTTTTGAGGTCTATAATTCCATAATGGTAGTATCCTTGGACGCTCTGGGTTGGTTTTGGGGTATATAAGAGGTCTAAGGGATTAGGGGTTCGGGCATATAGGGTGTAGGTCCTGAGGTTTAGGAAGTTAGGGGCGCAGGCGCAGGGCGGACAAAAGCACCTCCAGCAACCCTCCTAGATTAAGCGCCAGAGTTGCTGACTTGTCCAGTATCCTCAGGGAGCTAAAGACTAACCTTTGGGGCTTATAGGGATCCTAGCACCCCAAATAAGCTAAAGGCGACCAGCCCTACTACTACTACTACTTCTACTACTACTACTACTACTACTACTACTACTACTACTGCTACTGCTACTACTACTACTACTACTACTACTACTACGACTACTACTGTTGGGAACCTTAACTCCTGGCGCTTTTCGGGTCTCTGGGGACATGGACGAAAGATGGGTAAGGGTCTAGTACTTAGGGCTTAGGGGTTCGGATTTAGGGTCTAGGTTTGGCACTGCCCCACCCCACT